TTATTTGTTACTTTAAAATTTATTGCAGTTAAAATATATTTTATTATACCATACATAGATACCATTCTGCTAAATATTAGATTGCATTTATTTTATTTTAGACAAAGTAAAAATTATTTTTCTTTACGGAGAATGTATGTATACCCAAAGAAACATTTCAAATCTATTGAAAAATACAAATTAAAAAAAATTAAAAGAACTTAGAAACAGTAATAGAATTTAGAAGAAAACTTAAAAAAAAAAACCAATAGAACACACACAAAAAATAAGCATATTAGGCCATCCACCTCTTCATTGCCTCGAACTCCACGATAACCCGGTACCCACATCAGGGTAACCCTGTTGTGTTCCCCGAGATGATTTAGTGCTTGTATACAGTTCCATACCAGGGAGGATTCCGTGGTGGGCTTCGCAAGAGCGCCAAGGGCAGCCTGGCTGTCGGTGTAAATAGTTATACCCCTGTTGCCAGTTTCTGTTATGGTTATAGATTTGACGCATTCCAGGATAGCCAAGATCTCAGTCTGAAAAACCGTGGCCATTCCACCCATAGAGATGCTCAACTTAAAGTTATTCTTCGAGGCATATATGCTCGCATCAAAGCGACCATTGTTTCCCGATCCGTCTGTATACCACACATCATGGCCCAGACGGCTAAGAATGAGATTATTTTCCCATTCAGCCCTATCCGGTATAGAGATCTTAAAAGTTCTCTTTGGATAGTGTCTCCTGGTGATTTTGTCTTGTTTCAAAGAAAAGGGAGGTTTGAAGAGAAAGTCCAGCCCTGTATGACCAGGGCCGGCGCACTTCCATTCTTTTTGGCAATAGAGCTTGTAGGCCGTAAGTTTGGCTGCACAGATGATCCTTTGACCGAGTGAAGGAATACAGAAGGCCACCTCCAGCGCCTCCGTTGGTGTGATTCTCATGGCCCCCACTGCCGACCTCAGGTAACTACCCTGTAGGCATTTCAGCAGGTTCCTTGCCCCCCCCCCGTGGACCACCACCTTGTCGTGGTGGGGGGGCTCACCCCTCGCAAGGGTATAGCCTTGCGAGGGGTGCTAAGAGTGGTTCGTACCTCCAGTGGAGGTACATCTGGCCTGGTGGGGCCACAGGGCTTCGGCCCGCCACCCTTGGAAGGCCACCAAGTCAAAAAACCAACAAAACAACATCATGGGAGGACGAAAAAAGAAAAAGACTGTTACCGGCCCAGGTAGGTCGGATATGTCAGGGCCCGGCGGGGAGGGGGGTATTATCCCGGCCCCCACCCCGTCGTCATCGTACGACGGGCATGGATTGGGAGGAAGGGATCCGACGACCCCGATGGAAGCGGGGCCACGGACCCCGATGCTCGAGGTTTTGGCACTACTGCCGGATCTCGACCCGGAAAGGATCACCCCGCTGTTGGAGATGGCTGAGGTCGAGGCCCCGGCAACGGGACCTTTCGGCCGTTCACTGCTGGAGATTGGCGGAGTAGGGAAGGACACGGAGTCCTTTCTGGAGAGCCTCCGTCAATGTGGGGAAGAAGGGAGATTGGAGCAGATGATGGGCCATGCGGAGTGCTACGCCAAGACCATGGAGAGGCGGATACAGGGTCTCGCGCGGGCAGTGGTGTGCCTTGCGATGCGGGAGCATGATCGGCGCAGGAGAAAGGCAGAGGAGGCTGAGGAGGAGGGGTCCCCCCGGATCCTGGAAAAGAGGTCAGGGACCGGGGGACTCAGACGTCCCCTGACCCCGGAGGGAGGTTCCGGGATCAGGGACACAGGTGGAGATCGCCGAGGCGATGGAGGTCGACCCTCCGTTGCCGGGGGCGGTGGAGGTCAGGTTGGGGAAAATATTCTCCGGACTGGCAGCCACCGCGGACCGGCTGAGGGCGATCGAGATGCGCCTCGGCGAGATCGAAGGAGGGAGGAGGGTCCAGGAGACCCTCGAGAGGGGAAGGGAGGGGAAGACCACCACCACCGCCACCGGTGAGTGGGTGAAGGTGATTAAAGGGGGAAAAAGGAGGGGGAAAGGAGAAGGAGGAGGCGCCACCACCAGCGGTGGGGAAGGGAAGGCCACCGGTGGTGGGGAAAAGAGAAGGAGGAATGGGGTTGGCGACGGCGGCGCGACCGTCGCCAACGCCATGGGCGCAGCGAGGTGTTACCGGTGTCTTTTTCCAGGACATACCTGGCGCCGGTGCACCTTGCGGGTGGACAGGGGTAGCCGCTACTACCGCTGCGGCTCCTCTGCCCACAGGGCGGCGGACTGCCGATCCGGCCCGAGGTGTCCACTCTGTGTGGACTTCCTCCGGCCGGCTCGGCAGCTCCATAGGCTTGGGGAGCGGGGGTGCCTTATGGCACCCCTTGCGGGGCCTAGGGGTGGGGGCCCTCCTTCCCCTTCCCCGTCGTCGGGGGCCGCAGCCAAGGCTGCGACCGCACGCGGCGACGGGGATCGGGGGAGGGGGACCCAAAAAACCCCGGCATTGTCAGATGCCGGGTGAGGGTGTCGGGGGGGACATGGGTGCGCCTAGGCGTACCCTCTCCCCCCACGCTCTCCAAGAGGGTGGGGCCCCCCTGGCTTCGGGCGAACTCTGACCCCTAGAGGAAGGAGGGAGGCCGCAGTCGGGGGGACCTAGAGAGGGGGGCCACGTATCCCGTGCGGGCGGACTTGTCCTTCCGTATGGGTGCCTGGCCCCCTCTTACGGACGAGACGTGACGCGTGGGGCCCTCTCACCGGGAGCCATAGGCACCGGTGGGAGGGCAACACCGTCCACGGAAGGGGGTTCCTCTCCTTCTGAGAGGAGCCTCCTGATGAGGGCCCCTTCAGTGGACCGCCGAACTGGACCACCCTCTTGGGGGTCCGGGGGTTGCGACACTGGGGGGGCGAGGGGCGATGGCTCGAGCGGGAGTTCTCGAGCCATGGCTCCGCCCCTCAAACTCTTTGAGAGGGCGCGGCGTGGGGTTGATGTCGCCCTGCGCCGCAACCGCGAAGATATAACCCGTACAATGACGGGGGGAGGGTGTCGCCTTCCGCGGCATCCTCTCAAGGAGGGATATGGCGGGGGGGCGGCCAGTCGGTATGGGTATCCCAGCATCCTAGTCGTCCTCTATTAACGCCCGTGAAGGACATCCTCTGGGGTTTTAGTGCGGTAGGTCCTGTCCCGGCTCTCCGGCTCGCCGATCCCGACTCTCCGGCCCGCTACGGCGGACCGGCCAGGCGGATGTGCGGGCCGGCCAGACGGGGCAGGGAGTCCCGCATAACCCCCGCCTCTACCCGGAGGCGGACGGTACCATGAGGTTTCCCCAGAGACAAAAAAAAAAAAGGTTCCTTGCCCCCATCTTTTCAAGCCTCGGCTACCAGACCACCGCAGCGTACATCAATCTAGACAACAGGATAGCTTTGTATATTCAGAGGGCAACTTTAGGCCTAATGCCCCAAGTTGCTCCCGTAGCCCTCCTGCATACCCAAAATAAAATGTAAAATTTTTTCTCTTAGTCTCAAGATGGTAACTCCAGTTCAATTTCGGGTCAAGGTAGACTCCCAAATATTAAATGGAGGTGGCATATTTTAGTATTCCAGAGCTTTAATGGGTCAATGTGCTCTGGTTTATACTTCCTGGTAAAGAAAATAGCTTCGGTCTTGTTTGGATTAGCCGTAAGCCTTTTGGCCGCGCACCAATCTTGTACCCTTTTAAGTGCTTTGTCCATAAGCTCCTTGAGAATGGAAAGAAAACCACCCTTCTGTATAATGGCCACGTCGTCCGCGTAGCCAAACACCCGAATACTGGTTTTCTTTAAATTGACTAAGAGTTCATCCACCACTAGGCACCACAAGAGTGGAGACAGGACTCCCCCTGCGGGCAGTCCTTTAAGGTTAAATTTCCTTGATTGACGGTAAAAATTCTTCCCGTTAGTATGCTAAGGGTCCAGTCGATAATAGCAACTGGAATGTCATGATCGACCATGGCTTTCTCAATCACTGTATAAGAGGTGCTATCAAAAGCTCCTTGTCTAGAAAGACTCCCAGGGCGTAGCCTTTGGCCGTAAGTTGTGTTTCAATGCTGCCCACAAGGTGATGTAGGGCTGTGTCCGTGGATCTTTCCTCCCTGTAGGCGTATTGACATGAAGACAGGGGTTTATGAGCAAGGGGCCCTGTTTTAAAATCTCAACCAGTTTTTCTAATATCTTCAATATGAATAAAGTGAGGCTGATGAGTCTGAACGTCTTTTACTAGAATATGATTGTTTCTCCCCGGTTTGGGAATAAAGCAGACTTTAATGTCGCTCCACCGCCGATGGAATGTGTCTTATTGCTATGCTTGCCCTGAGAATTTTGGTGAGAGGGCTTATTAGGAGGTCTAGCCCTTTTTGCAGGAGAATGGGATAGATGCCGTCCGGCCCCGGTGCCTTATAGAGGTCAAAGGAGCGAACCGCCTATTTTACACCCTCTGAGTACACCACTCTTGCCGCTAGTGCCTATTCCTTAGGTACATAACCTACCTTAGGTGTGGGCATAATGGACAAAGGGTGTTTTGCCGTAAAAGGTTGAAAACCTGGAAAATGAGTCTCCATAAGGAGAGTGAGAGATTTAGTGAGACTTTCCGTGTAATGCCCGTCAGGGTGCTTGAGACAGCCCATTGGCGAGCAGCTATCGGAATTCAGAATTTTATTGAGCCTAGACGCTTCAGGAAGGCTCTCAATGCTTTCGCAAAAACTCCTCCAGCAGCGTCTTTTGGCTGAAGTGATGGCCCTGCTGTATTCCCGCTAGGCGATCCTAAAATTGCCCAACAGGCCGCAGAGCTAGATTTCCTGGCCTTGTTGAAAAGTTTCCTGATCCTTGACCTAAGCTTCGAAAGCTCTTTGTTCCACCATGGAACTCTTGAGAAGGACTGGCTCTTCCTTAACGGACAGTTAGCTTCATAGGCATCTGTAATGGCGCCCTTCATAAAAAATGTCGCTGTATCCAGATCACCTTTGTTATTAAATTTATTTAGAACTGATCTAAGGTTTGCCGATAAGGCGGCCTTCAAGCCTTCCCAATTGGTTCTCCTCGGATGTCTCGTTCATTTATGTACCGGTAAGTGACGGAGAGATAGGCAAATCTGTGGTCGGATCCTGAAGGTTCATTTGAGACTATCCAGTTCGTCACCAAACCAGCCACTCTCTCCATACACAGCGTGATGTCTATTACCTTCTGTCTTCTGGAGTCCTGGTAAATTCTGTACCTCTGTTGAGAATCATGAGGTTGGTGCTCATAATGAATCGTGTAGGCCCTCTCCCCTGGAGTTGACGCCCAAACTCCCTCACCCAACGCGTGGTGAGAGTTAGCATTGCAACCAAGTAGAAGTTCGAGCCCACGTTTCTCCGCATATGCAATCAGGTTCTTAACTTCGTCCTGAAATGGTAGGTCCTCGGAATCGTAGGGCATATAAGCTGAGCCCACTAGAACGTCCAAGGATACCTCCATCGAGAAATCAAGTCTTATCTGAACTACCGTCAGGTCCTCGCAGCTAAGCTGTGGCATAAAAGTTACATTTAGACCCTTGACGGCAATATAAGTTCTGGTTTTGCAGTTTGAGTGAGTGTAGCAAATTTTACCACAACTACTCAAACCTTTGATAGCATCTTTCAGGAGCCAAGGCTCCTGAATTAGTGCGATATCTGTTTGCATCGCAGCCATGCTCCTGGCTAAGATCGCCGAGGCACACTTGCTATGATGCAAGTTAATCTGAGTTACAGGAACTTCAGGCCCCATCATAGAGTAGATAGGGTCTAATTTAACGTCTCTGCAACAGCAGGTCCTTCTCTGTGTTCCTTCCCGAGCAGCTTGACAGTCGCCCGAGTGGAGCCACAGAACGGCCTGAAATTACATGCCTTGAGTGTCTCCAGCGATTGCGCAGTCACCAAGCAGGCAAAGTGGGAGCTCGAAGCATCTCTACTTTCAATCCCGCCTGAGACCATCCAATTCTCAGGGGCAAAGCCGACATTCTGTCTGTCAAGAAGTTCAATCGCCTCCTTAATAGAGAGGTCCGGTTCCTCCACGTGTACCACCACCTGATGGCGCTTTGGCAACTCATCGACTGGCAGCACACGGAGGGAAACGTTTCCTAGCTTCAGATCGGCGGAGAGGCCTTTCAGCCAGTTCGCCGACTCATCATTGGCCCATGCAAAAATGAGCGCCCCATCCCTGATCCAGGAGCCGGTGAAAGTGGAGCTTTGGTGCCTTTCTGGAGCGCTATGATGCAACTTCTGATCAGCTTCCTGATCTCCGCCACCTCCCCGTCACCCAGCTTTTTGTCAGGGAAGCCGTCTCCAACGACGGCCAACCTGACAATTTCCTTTGTGGCCCGAGTAAAAGACCCCTTGATCCTTGATCCGGGGCCTCTTGTCTGGGTTTATCTGAGGGGCTAGGAGTATACGAAAGCACCGGTCTGGGCCGTTTGCCCGCCCTGGTTTGCTCCGATCCTCCTGCCCCCTTGGAATTTGAATTTGAAGCAGCCCCAGAAGGAGTTGCCTCAGTCCCAGAAATCAGCCCCTCCTCCTGAAGCTGCTTCTGTTTTTATAGCGTCGTCTGGCGGCGCCGCTATAGCGACGACGGGTTTTCGGGTGGGTCCCAGAGGAATCCTCCCCCGCAATAGAAACTTCTTCCGGTCGTTCGCTTCCTAAGGAAGCCACGCCCTGAAGGACTTTTTGCATTGTGTTATTGTTTTCATTTGTGTCCATTTGGTTCTCACGAGTGTCGCGGAAGAGCGGTCTTACCTGGTCAGAGCCGCGTTTGCCAGGGCTTGGCTGCCCACTCCCGGATTTTGCCCGGTATCCAGAAGGCACCGTTTGAAACGCAGCATCCCCTGCGCCATGCAGCTCTCGGAACGGTCGCTAACACCTTAGCTTGGGGGGTCCCTCTTCGTCGGTCGCACCCGGAGTCACCCCTGAGGGTGAATCCGGACGCGATCTTAAACCCCTCCACCACGCCAAGGTGGAGACCCATTCGGGGGACACATCTTTCATAAGTATATAAATAATTATTATTGGTAAAGTTCGCTTCCTTATTTTACATCAATAATTATCTACTTATAAAAAAAGAAATAGTAGGATGATAGTGTAGTAAGAAAGTAGTTATTATTATAAAAGAAATAGTTTAATAAAATAGTAACGTAACTAGAAAGTAGTTGCAAATATCAATATATAAATATGCACACACACATTTAACATTTAAGAAACAGATAGATAAAAGAATCTACATTTTGCAATATATACTTATTTACTAAATACATGTCATATGCAATACCATATAATATATGTGTAATATACTATATTTTTTCATAATAATATAATAATCTATTTTCTTGTTACGCAATCATCCTGCGTTACAAGAAAATAGATATTATTATATGAAAAATTTAGTATATTATTAAAAAAAGACACGTACCTGTTATGTGTGTACATGTCAAGAGATCAATGTGTATACATACATACATATCTATTATTTTATATATTATAATATAACCCCATCAATGTGTATATATACGAATATCAAACGAAGATAGAATGATACTTTTAGCACTGTAAGCGCATTTTGGACCGTAGCTCTAACCAACATAACTTTACACTGTCAATAGTATTAACACATTGTACGTAATAATTACGAAATGCTACTATAGCACATCCTTGTATCAAAAGTTGGAACTGTACAAGAATCGCGCATGCGCATTGGTGACTTGCGTGAACGATGACGACGTGAACGTTTCTTAAATGAAAATTTTCACTTTGAGACTTTGCATTAAAATATTTCCGTTTACAAAGCACATAGAGCAGAAATAAAGACACTTTTATTATATAATTCGAGCCCAATCTATCGATTAAGTCTAGGATAAACTTGATTGCTTCAGCCGTTATTGAGTATTCGAAATTTATAATAAACTCAAGTCTCCACTTCGCGTAAAGATACACGGTGTGCCTCGCTTTTTTTATTTGGCTATGCCGCGAACTGGGCGCGAGACACTACCGTGTCTCTTGATCCTATTTCGGTATATTCTTTTTGTAATCTAACAATTATCCGATTTGAGCTTCTTGGATACTAATGTTTTACGACATGGCGGTAGACTGACCACTAATTGATTTAGGAAGTCCACTTATTCGGGTCGTTAGATAAACTTATCAAATCATCCAATAAGATACAAACTTACAAGGGAAGTTCGGCAAGTGTAAAATTCAAAAAAATCTGAAACTTTGTATAAGTTTAGAGTAGATGAACCTAATCACAAAACAATTTTTTTTAGCTGCTGATATTCGGTTTTAGGGGTGCAGCATCCCCTTAAATAAAATCGGTGTTTACGTTTTCAAGCGAATATCGCCGAAATAATAAGAAATATAAAAAAATGTTTCCAGCAAAAGTTTTATGGTTTCGAAAGCTCTTTATAATGGCATGATCATATTTTGCAAAAATGTTTAATTTTTCAAAATACCCCCACCACGTATCTTTTTTTTTTCATATTTAAATTTTTCTTGCAACTAAAATTAAAGTTTATTTCACGCCAAATTCAACCATATATAATAAAGTTGCGATCCGTAAACATGTTTTTGAGAAATAAACTGAAAACATCCTTACAGGGTATGCTGTCAATTTTATCGGCCCGCTAATTTTGGCTACGACTTCTCTTTCTCCCTTTCTCTCTGTAATTTTTCGCAATACAAGATAACGATGAAACAGATGTTTGTAATAAATCTAATCACGTAACTGATTTTTGTATATTACACATTTTATAAATAATATAGTAGTCAAAATATATCGTAAGAGAAAAATCAAAGTTATCGATAAAGTAATTTCTGATTTAGACCTTTGGTAAAAAAAATTAAAGATTATCGTCTAGAATGAAATAAACACGGATGCACTAACGTATATGTAATATTTCCTGTTATGTACGTCATTATATTTATGAGAACGTTATCAACTTTGAATAGTTGAAAGGTTGAAGGATTATCGAGATTGATGTGATGCAATAAAAGAGAAGGTTATGGGAAGGCTATCTTTAATGTTCGTTTTCCTTATACAATTAGTATAAAAGCCATCCGCTTCTGCATTTCATTCATGTTATTTAATATATTGTACGTGTGATACTTTCTGTGGGAAAGTTTCATATAACATTTATTCAAGCATTTATGTCAAAATGTTGGCCATAAATACGGCGAACGTTATAAATTTGTTAATTACAACGTTTCACATTGCAAATCTCGCTGTCACTCCTGTTAATCATCGTGAAGTAGAACTCCACGATGCAATTTCAAATTTAATAAGGGATTCTCTAAAAGACGATATTACAATTGAATATGATTGGGGACTTGATTTTGATGATCCATCGGAACCTCAAGCTGTACAGTTTGTAGATTCGTATGATCCTCATGCTGAAGAAGATAACTATGAAGATGAAGTTTGTATTGTAGATGACGAAGGTGGAAGTGTAGATTTAAATTATAAAAGAAAAGCGGTTGAATATTGGAACAGTGGAAAAAAAAGACGTTTATCCGTTTCTGTTGTACAGAATCGTTTTAGAAAGGTAAATTCTCATTAAAAAATAAGTACAATACTAACTAAATATAGATAAACGTGTATGAATATCATAGTGGATAATAAACAGAAGTCAGGAACAACGTTTCATGTCGCATGTTCATCTGCATTCGATTAATTTTCTTGTGTTTGATATAATCTTTTAAATATTGGATCTTTTTTCTCTTTTAGGTAAAACATGTTTCGCAATTGTACAGATGGCAGGAGTATATAATGCGTGGAGGGACAAACAGAGACAAATTGATATTCATTGCCGAATATGTATTAATAAAATTTCAAGAAACTATTGATAGAGGATCTATTATTCATGACATCGATTTGCGAAGGTGGGCGCTAGAAGCAAAGGAGCAAGTGAATTTTGCTACATTTAAAGCAGGACATTGGTGGATATGGAATTTTAAAAAAGCTCATCGCATTACATCACGTAAAATAACGAAATTTAAAACGCAATCTAATTTACAAGCTGATGCACTGATACATCAAAATGCAGAAGAATTTGTGACAAATGTAAAACCACATATTGCTATAACTGGTGAAGGATCAACTTATAATGCAGATGAAAGCGGTTTTAATCTAGAAATACATTCTGGAAGAACATTAATTAATATGGGAGTAAAGACAGTCGAAGCTACTGTTCAATCTTTATCTTCTATAAGTCATAGTTATACTATTATGCCAATTATATCTGCGGACGGGTATCTTCTTTCGCCTCTATATATAGTCTTAAAAGAAACTACTGGGTCGTTTGAACCACGAGTAGAAGAAACTCTTTTTCGACCTGCTAATGTTTACATTGCGGCTTCAAAATCCGGAAAGCTCACAACCCAACACTTTAAAAATTGGTTTTTAGAGGTATATCTTCCGAATACTAAAGAGAAAAGTTTGCTGTTGCTAGATTCATGGACAGGCCATTGCCCGGAACAATTAATAGAACTTGTACCAAAAGACAAACAAGTAAATATTTTAACAATACCAAAAAAAACAACTGCTTTTATACAACCTTTAGATGTTTTTGGCTTTAGAATCTGGAAAAATTTTATTCGAAGCTTCTCTGATAATGTTATTTTAAATAATTACGATATAAATTTACATTTACGCAATAACATTATAAAATTACAGTCTTTGGCACACAATCAACTTTCTTCTCCAAGATTTCGAAATTTATTTAAATATAGTTGGTATAAAAGTGGCTATTTATCAACACGGCCTGAAAAGTTTGAAAATCCAATCAATTACTGTTATTTTAAAGAAGAAAAACATATACCGAAATGCAGCATTTGTGATAAAATGGCTTTTATACGTTGTGCATGGTGCAAAAATTACTTCTGTTTTGAACACTTCTTTGAACAATACCATTATTGTAACAATTATATAGAATAAGAGAAGTCGTAGCCAAAATTAGCGGGCCGATAAAATTGACAGCATACCCTGTAAGGATGTTTTCAGTTTATTTCTCAAAAACACGTTTACGGATCGCAACTTTATTATATATGGTTGAATTTGGCGTGAAATAAACTTTAATTTTAGTTGCAAGAAAAATTTAAATATGAAAAAAAAAGATACGTGGTGGGGGTATTTTGAAAAATTAAACATTTTTGCAAAATATGATCATGTCATTATAAAGAGCTTTCGAAACCATAAAACTTTTGCTGGAAACATTTTTTTATATTTCTCATTATTTCGGCGATATTCGCTTGAAAACGTAAACACCGATTTTATTTAAGGGGATGCTGCACCCCTAAAACCGAATATCAGCAGCTAAAAAAAATTGTTTTGTGATTAGGTTCATCTACTCTAAACTTATACAAAGTTTCAGATTTTTTTGAATTTTACACTTGCCGAACTTCCCTTGTTAGTGTGATCGCGGGCCTTATTGACAGAGCCATCTCATTTTCAGACCCTATTTTTTATAATGATAATATTGAATTCGTTAAAAAAATTTTAATCAATAATTGTTATCCCCCTTCAGTGGTTGAGAAACATAAATAAAAGGCGTAGACAACTTATTGCTAATAATAACCGCGGTTCATTAAATCGTAAAAAATTTGACGCTAGGTCATGCATTGTTCTATCATATATAAAAGGTCTGAGTGAGAATATTACACGTTCTATTACTAAGAACGGTTGTGATATACTTTATACCATCCCAAAAAAATTGGACACCCTTATTAAAAGAGGTAAAGATAAGATAGACACGAGTAAAAGAACTGAGGTAGTCTATAAAATAGAATGTAAAAGTTGTAATGCGATTTATATTGAACAAACAAAAAGACACTTAGGAACACGTATTAAAGAACATATTAGTAATATTAAAAAGGATATTCCGTTCCATTCGGTGGTCAGCCTCCATCGGACCTCTAATGACCATGACTTTCGTTGGAGTTCTCCCATTATTTTACATCAAGAAAAACATACAAAAAAAAGAGAGATTGCAGAGATGTTTCACATATAAAGACATTTAAACACTATTAATTTACAAAAAGATACGGAGAATTTCAGCAGAACTTATGATCGGGTTTTTAACGCTATTTAATATACTTTGTGCAACCGGCGCGCGGAAAGTCGCCCTTTCCGCACATAATGAAATTTTAGAAAGGGCTTCCTTTCCATGCACCGGTCACACAAATATCGTAGCCAACATGTGTGGCTTCGCCTCGTGCGCCAAACTTCCGTACTCTCGACCAATTTACGATACCCCGCACTTGTTAGCTACTATAATTCTTTTCACCTTGTCATTGTTTATTATTTTGTGCTGACTTTACAAATGGATTGCGTCCTCTTAAATTGTTAGTGATAAAGCGTTTGTCAAACAGTTAACATCCGTTATACACGCTTGTCATTTTTATATTGTTCGTTAAAACAATTTGTGGAAATTATTGCAGTTTTCAACTAAATTTTAGTCTTTATTACTGTTTTTACTAATCCGTATTTATATCTGACTTAGGTATTGCATTCATTTTTGGTGTTACTTTTATTTTTTAATTATATTTAAATGTTTTTATCTATTAAAAAATTTTTTGTTATTCGTAGATACTTGAAAAAGACTGCAATGACGGTCGAAATGTTGTATTAAACAATTGTAATAAATTGGCCAGTTTGGTCGACTTGCTCATAAGATATTTATTTTTATAAAATTATATATGAAATATGTCCATGTACATATATAATTAGTTTTAATTATATATAATTATAGTAATAATAATTATATACATATTATTAGATATAAAATTATATATTTTTCTGTAAGTGCATTTTCAATTTATTGAACTTTTCTAATATAATTACATATAATTTTAAGTAATTATACATATATACACGGAGAAAATTTTATATTAATTTATAATATAATTTTTAATTATATTTTACTATTTTTTGCATTATTGGTGGACCATCATGACTTTATAGAATAAATTAAAGTATAACATAGCAAAACGTTAAATCAACATTTACCTAATATATGTTATCATTTGCCATAGTAAAAATTTGTAGGTATAAAAAGTTATCTTTATTATGTATCATTTAAAGTATTATAACGTTAAATCTTTTTTTTACTATTTAATTATATGTATTTTTTCTTTCTTATTTTATTACTTCCTTTCTTTTTAAATTTTATTTATAATTAATATTACATTTATTATTTGACGGACAAAATTAATAATACTCATTTATGATTAGCCTAATAAAAATTTATTAATAATACAAAATGATAAAAGTACAATAATACATATTTTATATAGTACCTAATATAATAATAAAAAGCAGATAATAAAGAACAATTATTAACACAAATAGAGAACAAAATGAACACAATAGAATTACTATATAGTAAAATAATATATAAATATTCTAATATCTAATAATATATAAGTAAGGTCTACATCTAATAATATATATAACTAAGGTTGAAGTACATATTTACCAATACGGTTCATATACGGTTTGTTTTTCACTTATTTTATATCCATAGTTTTTATATATATATTTGTGATCGTTAGATTTAATTTCGCATGTAATTATAACTGTATGTGAAAGTATTTGTTGTAATTGTATGCAGTCTCTATGAAAATCTTGAGTATCAATTATTTCATAAACCTCATAATGTTTATCAAAAAAGCACGAGTTCAAATTTTCTGTTAATATGAATATATTCTCTTCTGATTGCCAAATTAAATCTGTCACTTTGTGAAAGATAGGTCCATTTTCTGATGGCATCACAAGAATTGTATCGCGCTGTATGATACAATGACCACGTTTAATCCACTTTAAAGTTTGAACAACACCAAAATTTGATTTAATATTAGGTGGTAAATGTAAAATACTCTCACAATCAGTTATTTGCTTTGAACTTATCTCATACGGTGAAAATGTTATTTTTTTTGTTAATAATTTATGACTTAATTTTAATTGATGTCGCAATGCTACAGTATAACAAATATTAACTCTACTAATAGCAGAATGTGCAATAATTTTACCTTCTCTATGTTTGCTTTCAAAACGCATGCAACAAATGTTCCATAATGGACCTAATAATCTCATTCTTTCTGGATAATGTATAGCAATATGATGTTTAAATTTCAGATTTTCTGGAAATAATTTTACTCGTAAATGCAAATATTCTTCTATTCTGCAGCTAATAAATCATGTTCATTAATATGAATTAATGTAGCAGGAACAATAGAAGTAATTTGTTTTAATACAAGGTATAGATTTCAATATTTGTTTTCTCTATCTATCAAATGTCCAATTATAAGTTCTAAATAGTTTACAAAGGTGAGCATTTTAGCGGCTGACATTTAAAGGCGTTTATGTTTCAAATGGATCTGACTAATTTCGACTGGTTTATTTTTTTCGTTTTTATCAAAGGGAAAGCTTTGAATTAAAATATTTAATTGTACCAAAGTAAATTTCTTTTCAATATTAATAAAATAATTCAGAAGAAGTGCAATATCATAAGGAATTATTCCTTCTAAAAAATCGTGTTGTACATTGACTCATATTTTGAAATAAATCATAACCCGGTACACAACTAAAAATACACGATTCTTTCATTCCGCTTTTAGAAATATGACATTGTTCTACATGTACATTGTGAGTTTTAATATTTCTCAATTTACAATCACGTTCATGCAATACTTTTTTAATATCATTTTGATGTGTTAAACAAAATCTACAGAGGTAATTAACGTGAAAAGACTCACTAAAACCAAGAATGCTATGCAGACCTAAGTTGTCACCAAGAATAAGTTCAAGAGAAAAATAAACTCGACTACTTTGTCCATTATAAGAAATTTCTATACCTAGTTCTTGTAACAAACGAAGCTCTTCAATAGCTTTGTAAAAAATCAATTTATTAGTAAAAGTTTCTCTATCTAATGTATTAAATAAAATAAAAAGGAAAATATTATCTAATTTTGAACAAAATTCCGGAGGTAGACAAAGCACACTCAAATATACAGCTCCACATTTGGCTATACCTTTGTGGCTACCCAAAGGGTTGTTAGATTCATAATCATCATAATATATAGCTATAGGAAATACAATCTTGTCAGCAAATAAATCTTTTTATTTTTCCAAAGAGATCCTGACATAAAATTGTACTTTATTTTATTCTCATTGTTTTCAAGTTCTTTGATGTAATTAAATGTACGAGAAAAAATGTCAGGAAGTTTGAAAAAAGCTTTCAAAACCTTTGGAATAAACTGAACAAATACTGGAATAGTTTTATAAATTACAGTGTCATTTTGCACCTGATATTCTTTTCGTTCTCCAATTTTGCAGGTTTCAGGAGGTATAAATGTATTAGTCTTTTTAAATTTATTAAAACATCGTCGTTCACTTTCATATTTCTCTAAAGACGTAGTAAATTGTTCAATAATATTCAATATAACTTGAAAGTTTTCTGATGAAATATTTTCTGATTGCAATTGTTGTTGAAGATAATTTTGTAATATGCGAAATGATAATTTAATAATTTTGAAAAGTGTGTTATTATTTTCATAACTTTTGCTCGTGGAATTTCAGACATATCATATAATTTTGAGAAAAATATTAATAATTCTAATTTGTATAATTTTATATCCTCTGAAAGATTAGTTGATACAAACTGTTCATTTGGAAATTTCATCATTGTTAAATCATCCGGTTGATTTAAAGTTTTAATATTATCAGATAGTTCATTATATTGTTTGTTTAAAAAATCACTTATAACAATGTTTACTTCATGTGTTGCAATTTGGCTACAAAAATGTGTGCTATTTGTCTCATCGGAAACGTTCAACTTTGTATTGGATAGAGAACTATTAGTATTAAAATTGCGACTTTGAGAAATTGATGTTTTCTTCCGAGAAATTGGAAACTTTTATGAATAAACATTATAACAATGTCTTTTAAAAAATCTAAATATTGAATAAACTCTTGAACAAAATTCTTCTTCA